AGCTCACCGTCATTCAATTTTCTCAGCCCATCATGTATAGACCAATGTAGTTCCCAATTAATGCTCGTCAGCAGCACCACCTGCCTCATTTTCATCGACTGAAAGGACAGATTTTCGTTTGAGCATGTGGAGTTTTCCTCTTAAGATTTTTGTTGTACAACCACACCACTAACCTGTCAATTGTCATCTAATTAGACAAAAGTTTTCTAGCCTGCTTGAAAGACAAAAATCTGCCAGTTGTACAGTAATTGAAGTTGTACACCCCTAATCAACTGGCAGATTTCCGGATGAAAACGCAATCACAGACAAAAAAATCTCCAGATCATTATAAGGTGTATGGGCACCTTAACAATGCTTTGTTTTATAGTGACATGGCCCATGACAGCTCCTACATATAGATCAGTAACAAGGAGGCACAGGATAAAGAACCAGCATGTCCCTATACCTGTGTCTGCTAGATCTGCAGCCATAGTAAGTAGGGAGTGAATGTGTTAGATGACAAATCTGCATTCACCCAGAACTTACACAATAGCTTTTGTTAAACTTTATGAGAGTGACACATCTTTCTGTATATTGCATATGGAAGAGTTGAGGTCAGGACACAGTTTTCTGTCTTCATCACTCCTGTTTTAATTAAATCCATTCCTGTGTGGTCACATATAAATCTTACTTTTTTGGGGTGAAAATGTAGGCCCACAAATAAATCGATTTCACTACATGCATTTGCGTTGAGAGATATTGCATTAGAAGAGTTGAGATTTACAATGGCATTTGGAAATGTTCAATTACCTCTGCAAAGAGTATTTGAGAGGCTTTTCTAAGTGGAAGGAGAAATCAAATGTTCCCCCGAGGGAAAGGTTAGATAACACAAAAATCTAAAGAAAAATCTAAGAAATGGCTCTTTTTCTACTTGTATAAGTCAAGTCCAGATTTGCAGCTTCCCACACATCTTACAACCTGCAATTTATGTCTTCTGGGAGTTATTTGTGCAATGCAATTCAGCAGTGACAGACACAACATAAGAGATCAGGAATGACAGACTTCAGACTCTACAAGTTGCTAAATTACATGCACATCACACATCACTATATTGTAAAAAAGGAGTTAACCATTAGCACTGAGCTTAGAATTGTTACTGCGGTATCTTGTGGGGTGGCTTTTGGTTGTTTTTTTTCACAAATGATAACTTCTATTGATATGACTGCGAGATTATAATGCAGAGACAATCAATCCAAGAAAATAACTATTAGATGCCATTTGATTTTTGGGGGGGAAAAAAATAGCCTTCATACAGTTTATCACAAAGTAAGCTTAAATGAGCATTGCAGATCATGTATATCATTTAGGGTCTATTCACACCACTCTGGTTTATTGCAATACAGTTTGTTAAACTCACATGCATTATATTGTGCATTAATATGCATTGCATTAAATTGTTTGTGCATGAACTGTTTTCTCCTGTGCACTGCAATGCACAGTAGCATGTTAAGTGGTGCACTGCAATGCAGGTGCATTAGGAACGTGCAGTGGGGAATGGTACTGCATTCCACCAATGCATAAATAAATCCTGTTAGGAGAGAACTAAAGGGGATGCAGGTGCTTGAATAAAATGTTTATTCTGACCAACTAGCTTCACTATTTTGTGTCATTGACAAGGATATCAACTCCATGACTGTTCGCCAGATGATCTCAATGAATCCAATGTAATATTTTTTTTGTTATTTATTTTATGGATGTGTGTGTGTTTATCTAAGCATTCAGCAACAATAACCTAAATAAAGCAAATCAGAGTAAGGATATGTTGCGCAATAAGCATGGTTCTGCTATTGTCTGTAAAAAAATAAAAATAAAAGGTTGTTTTTTTTTTGGGGGGGGGGGGGGGGGTTTTGGTTGCACTTGTTTT